GGAGTTCACAACGATAGGTATAAAGTTCGTAGGAGACTCACTGATAATGATGATAATTCATTCTCGACTGTTTACGTAGATCTCGTCAAAAACAGCGATAATTTGATAACGAGATAACATGTTTGAGCCTGTTATGAGGTCTGGTACGGCACTTAAACAGTGCTAAGCAGACGTGTGATTCGCCCTTGCAAACTCCTCAGTAGCAAGTGCCCTTCGGTGCCGTACTACACATTATAACAGGCTCAAACATGTTATCAGATAATGATATCCATTTGAGCATAAGTGTGCTATTTGAACATCATTCTGATTGAGCATCCTCTACTATTCTGCTTTTATATGACTCTTCTAAAAGCTCTATTGTTTCTCACTCTTTAGTTCCAAATCCGCCACTTCCCATACTGTGTTTCTTACTGCTAGTAGATTTGTGAGTGATTTGCTTAATCACTTTCAACTGACGGCATTTGGTACAATCACTTCTCTTGCACCAAAAATGACTTCTTCCTTACCTTTACTAAATTCAGTATCATTTTCCTCTAACCCACAGCGGCTGATCAGTTTGTCATAAGAATATGCTATGAGCATAACAAAAACTCTCAGGTAGTCACCATATCTGGAGCACTATGTCTCCCTTGCAGACCAACCGAAAACAGGATCAAGATATAACCAGATTGTTATCCAATGGGGAATTTCTTGAAAATTACAAAATAGGCAATCTAATTAGCACTGGAGGATTTGGGGAGGTAAGACTACGAGAATATCAAAACCGAGTTAAAATCTCAGTTAGTTAATGGAAACCTCCAGGTATACACGGGTTTCCATCGTGTATCAAATGAGCGGGTAGCGATCAAGGTGGAATCCTTGACGACTTCGGTGAGTATTATGCTGTTTATATCCTTTCCCATATGACTAAACAGAATTCAACAGACTAAGACTATTTTGATTGTATGCGTTCAGATCCCCCTTTTGAGAAATGAAGCCATATGTTTACAATATCTAAACTCCCGTCATAATCCGTATGATGATGAAACACGCGAGCCGATTGTTCGCTGCTTGAAATATGGGAAAACGGACAAGCTCAAGTATCTGGTGGGTTGCTAGTCTGAACAGAAATAAACGATTACGGGCAATTTCTTCGTTTTTCTTCCATAAAGTGCAAGGCTCAAGGTTATGGATCACTGCGGTCCGAATGTACGTCAGCTGAAAAAGGCAACACCTAAAGACAAATTCAGGTGAGAATGATATGAAACAAACAGTTCATCTGATTATTATACCAAAGTCAAAACAGCTTTAAATCTATTTCCGATCAGTTAGATCGCTGTGGTAGATAGAAAAGAAAATAGAGTACCTTACTTCCAGTATTAGATTGGAAAGAAGTTCTGGAGTACTTTTAAGAATGAAGATTTATGCATGAATTTCAAAAAAACAACAATAAATATTCCTCAAAAAAGGCCGTTGTTTCCTACGACTTTCCGTCATCAATCCACCAAGTTTCGGGCCTGGATAAGGAGAAGTACCCGGCTTCGGTCAATCGAAAGCGCATTTGGATGTAGCAAGACAATGACGCATTCCGCCTACAGTCCAGATTGCGCTCCATCCGATTTCAACCTTTTCCAATCAATGCAACACTCTTTGAAGGGTCGCCGATTTGAATCGTTTGATGGGGTTGAAGAAGCATGTTAATAATCCTTTTGATTCGAAGTTGTAGGAATGGTACTTCGAACAGATCCGAAATTTGACGGATCGGTGGCACAGATTCGTAGAAAACGATGGCCTTGATTTTGAAGAATAGTTGTTGTTATTAATGTTTAGAATTCATGCATAAATTTTCAAGTTTTTACAAGTGCTCCAAAAATTTCTTTCCAATCTAATAAAAAAAAAACAGTGACACTGCATAGAACGTCGGTGGTACATTAGTATACACTACTTCTTTCCTAGGCTTCTGCACTCTTTCATCATCAATTTACTTGCGATTTTGACACTTTGGAAGAACAGTGTATGAGGATTTCTTGAAATACCTATTTCATGACGAATAATGACTGAGTAATAGGTACTCGAACGATTCGTATAGTATCAGATCCATGTAAACCATAGGCTTGATATTCATAGTGAACAATGACGGCGGTTACCTTTCTGTATCCAAAGCATTGCAATTAATACGATCCGGCGGACATGAACTCTACAGTCATCAATTACGACTCGACACTCCTTCAAATTTTGCTCCTTGAAGCTCCATTTTCTAGCCTGAATTTCCTTTCTTTCTTCCGTTTTGGGGACCGAACGGTGGGACTATCTCCTTTGAGAAACTTTTTCACCGCTCCTTTTTCTGGGTCTCACGAAAAATATGCACTGAAACGGGTTTGCGTAGAAATCACGCTTTTCGAAAGAAAAATGTGCCTGCCAGAACGTCTTAGACACACAACACAATAGTTCAAATTTCCTTTATCTTGAATTATTTTAAGAGTTCAGCTCAGCTTACTGTTGCAGACAGGAACAAATTATGTTACTGTATTCAAATTCCAGCACGACTACGTCTCTGTGGATTATGGAGAGGATGGTCTCTGCTCTACAGTTCATTCATTCACACGGATGGTTGCATAGGTGTTTTTCGAAGATGTTATGCATTCAGCAATCCTGGAATCCTCTCTAATAGAAGAGGATGAATTTCTGGCAGTATTTTCAGAGATGTAAAGCCAGAGAATTTCTGCATAGGCTATAATGAACCTCGTAAACTCTACCTCATTGATTTCGGCATGTGTAGGAAAGGGAATTTAGAATTCTTCTTCTTAGTAACGCGGAATAATCAAGATTTATTCCAGATTTTTTATCACTGCTGACGGATCCTGCAAGCAGCGAAAACCTGCGAGTCCATTCCATGGTACAGTTCGATATGCGTCGTTGAACGCTCATAAAAGGCAGGCATGTTGATAAACTATATATTATGGCTAAATACGCTGATTACGTAGAAGGTGTTCTCCGGTGCCTCTGCGTATGGATTAGACGCCCTTATCATGATTAGGTGCTCAACAGCAGAATGTTCGTCCACAGAAAAGCCATGTAAGCTGAGATCAGATTAGGCAGTATTGCAAGAGTGTTGCTCACTTAAGTGCACATCAACATCAGGTTGTCACTATCCTAAAACAAATATATCTGCAAGGTAGTAAACTTCCTTCCAGTACAGAATAGTCGTCAAGTGTTTTTGGTAAAGAGCTATTAACACGACTATATCAGGGTTTCAAATAAATAAAATCACCCAAAACTGAATAATCCTGTCTCTTCACCACCGTACTGATACTCTATACTGAGTAGTCGACTTGTGACATGTGACTATAAGTTGGGAGTTTGAAGCCAGACCGAAACTGAAGTTTCATGCGCGCCATGAAAATTATTCCTACCTTCTATCTAAGCATTAGACTAGTCTATATAAATTCACGTCATCTTCATCGAATCTCGCTATACAACGAAGAAAGATCGTTGTAGGATCAATGTCGCTGGGACGATTTGTGGTCCGTTTTTTACATCACCGTCGAAAACATGGTTGGTGCGCTTCCGTGGCGATCTGTTTCCGATAAGAATAAGATAGCCGAAATGAAAACCACCTATGATTTCACCACTCTTCAGTATGGAGAAGTGAGTTTTTTTTTTATATGTTCGCTACTTAGTCTGTATATACGCAGATGACATGTTGTCGTAAAAGCGCGAGCGATTGCTGTAACGATTGCAGCATCGACAGCCCATGCACAAAAGCGACCTTGGGTAATGTCTCGGAGCAGCTTCATCTTGATCCATCCATTGTGTTGCACCTCGTCAGTCAACATGTAGCACGATTCATCGCATGTCCTTTCTTTTTTTCTTTGATGATCGCGTACCATACTAACTCCTACTCTCCTTACAACCGATTCGTTTCCTCACATTAGCCATCCATTAAATCCCTTGGATTTATGGATTCGGATGCTTTCTAGAGTTCTTAGCCCTCTTCTCCAATCTCGCTGAGTGCTGCTCAAGTCGATTTTTGCTCGAATTGTGGCAAAGGCCGCCTGGCGCATTCGTATGCGGATCACCGACAGGTGCCACGTTTTCTTGTGAACTGTCGCTTGGTGAGCCGTGACGGAGTTGAGACCGTATCATATTAATGGTGAACGACATCACCACCTGTGCTAGCGCCGTGTCGCATTGCTCTCAAAAAGTGGTTTTTTTTTTTGTTCGTAAAAGAAGGGCAGAGTGGGCTTGGTGACGAGGACCTACATATTCTTGATTTAAAGCATGATATGCAATTATTCGACATTTTCACGTCTCTAATCTCTTCAGAACAACGAAATATTGCTTTTCGAGGCTTATCCTAGATTCTCTCAGGCTCCTTTCACATAATCGGTTCGACTATCGTTTTCAAGTATTATGAGCTTCTGGCGTCCGTATATAACCTTTTTGATCAACAAAATTCATGTCACTGGCATAATAATTTTGAAATCATCTCGGCAGTGCGTTCGAAAGCGATTCTCTATTCCTTGCGTGGTAGTTGGAGTTGTTACCACAAAAGTATCTCTGATACGCGAACTTATAAAACGAAGAGAAATGCTTTTGTTACGTTGAGAGCATCAATTCTTCAACCAAAAGTTTTGTAAATCATGCCTCAGGAAAAACATTAGATAGTAAATATTTACACAGCATATAATGGACGTGGCATTGAAATTACTGTCAATTTTCAGAACCAACTACACCTGTTATATAGAAAATTAGACAAAACATAAACGCTCTTAAACTTTGCGCCACCCAAATATAGTGGATGATTGAGAAAGCCCAACCATTTTCTGTCAATCAATGGGGAACCAGAACAATAGAATGTAGCTTGTCAAATTTATACTTATTAAGATTGTTTCGGAAAAGAAATATCTCTATAAATATATGGAATGATAGGTATATGAATACATGGATAGATTGCTTATTTTAATGACTGACAAACTGATTGATATACCCTTTGGTATGGAGTAGTGTGCAAAAATTTTTGCCCCAGCTGAGACTCGAACCCAAATTCACCCTATGGGGGTGAAGCGTGTTCGAACCGTTGCACTAACGAGGCCTGTTTTGACACCACTCTACGACAACACATCTATCTGTCAGCATCCAACTGTTAACGGAGGCGCACGTAGTCGGAGCTGGCTATATTATAACATCATACCACCGCTAAAAACGGCTAAATGAAAAAAATTCTAAATACTGTTTTTCTTCTTTAAGCAAAACACGAGCTGTTACAATAAAATTTATTCACAGCTGACGTTTCGGCAGTTCGCCTTCTTCAGAGCCTGGAAAGGTCAAATTGTCCGCAATCCAATAAGCCAAACACCTCCAATACTCTTTTAGAAAAAATCACCAGACCTAGATTTCAATCGCATCAAGCACAAAATCAACTCTCAACATACTCACCGCTTTTTATATGTGTTCCACTGAATGATTCAAGTGGAGACAACCGCAAGGAGATCACATAGGCTCGTAATGCACCTTACCCATCAAAATAACAGCCTTATATACTGACTAAAATCACGTGTGATAGCGAGGCATCCCTCCTTGCGGTTCATAGTTGGATTGGTGGTATTAATCCAAAGTGCTTCAAGAAGTTTTCGCGCTGATGTTTTTTGTTCCTGCGCAAGGATGGTGACTTCAATCTCAAAATCAGCTCCGTCGTGTTTCCGTTCTCTATGCGTCCCTAGCGGGGTGTTCCGTCTTTTGAGACGCTTATCAGCTAGGTGTTCTTCTATGCGGGCATATAATATATGATATATATAATATATAATAATAATAATAATGATAATTAATAATAATAATAATTAATAATAATGATAATTATATAATGATATATAATATATAATATATAATATATGCCGCATAGAAGAACACCTAGCTGATAAGCGTCTCAAAAGACGGAACACCCCGCTAGGGACGCATAGAGAACAGAAACACGACGGAGCTGATTTTGAGATTGAAGTCACCATCCTTGCGCAGGAACAAAAAACATCAGCGCGAAAACTTCTTGAAGCACTTTGGATTAATACCACCAATCCAACTATGAACCGCAGGGAGGAATGCCTTGTTATCACACGTGATTTTAGTCAGTATATAAGGCTGTTATTTTGATGGGTAAGGTGCATTACGAGCCTATGTGATCTCCTTGCGGTTGTCTCCACTTGAATCATTCAGTGGAACACATATAAAAAGCGGTGAGTATGTTGAGAGTTGATTTTGTGCATGATGCGATTGAAATCTAGGTCTGGTGATTTTTTCTAAAGGAGTATTGGAGGTGTATGGCTTATTGGATTGCGGACAATTTGACCTTTCCAGGCTCTGAAGAAGGCGAACTGCCGAAACGTCAGCTGTGAATAAATTTTATTGTAACACCTCGTGTTTTGCTCAAAGAAGAAAATCAGTAATTATATTGAAGCATGCCGAGGTTAATAGACAGTCGGTCTTGGGAATTGTTAGAAAAAAATTCTACTTGATCATCTAATATCCAATATCTGTCACCGTGACTGGGTTCAATGTAGATGCCGAGTACCCACGCGGGACCGTTGACGGTTGATTGCTGGCAAATAGATGCATTGTAGCGAAGAAGTAGTGGTATGACAACAGGTGTCGGTAGGGCGACAGTTCGAGCATGCGCCCCGGATAGGGTGAAATGTAGATTCGAGCCCAACTGACGCAAAAAGTTACGCACATCACTTTGCATCAATGGGTGTACTTATAACATTATCCTACCGCTAGAAGCGGTTAAGTAAAAAGTAATTCTGATGGATGGATAGGTTGATGTAGAAAATCGAATTCCTCAATGTTGTCTTACAAATAGGAGCCATGTATGCCTCGTCCTCTACGAGTGCTCTCCTATGAACTATACGAGGCTTTCCATGAAAGCGAGATAAGTTTTTACGCTGCACCTCCATATGACCGCCTTATTGATGAAGTGGTGAGTTCATTTGTATGTAATTATTTTATGATTACAATTTCGACTAAAACTGAATCAACTTTGAATCAGAACGGACGATATGTTTTCTATGCAGTCATTCGCCATGCCACTCCGAGTGCACGATATGATTGAATGCAACCCGCGTTCCAATAATTAATTTCGCCGTTCAGAACCTTTTTGTCGCACTTTAACTAACCAGCTAATAAATAACATATCCCATTTTTTCTTTCCTTTTATTAGTTAACATTGTCTATCTGTTGAATTATTTCAAGGCAGATGAACTGAGATTTCGCCATTTTCATCGGAACTCATCACTTGACTGGGAAGTGACACAGAAGCCACGTCACGTATGTGATTGTGTTGATATTTTATCTTCTCCATATTATGATTTATAAATGCTTTCAGCTTCATAAACTGAAGTTTTCAGTGTGGCGACGCCTGTGATCAGGACAACAAACGACCATTGCCGTCAGTGAAGTCGCTGCTTAATTGTAACGGCAAACGTTCTTTCTATTGTTTTTGAATAAGATTTGTGTCTATGAAAATCTCCATAGAATAATGGTAGTCGAGAAAAAGTCGTTGTATTGCAATGTGATAATAAGCATATTAGATTAGCATTTTTCTTTTAAATGTCTCTCGAGAATTCTATAAATCGATTCGTTTGGGCTCCATTTTGTAACCGCATGTCGATATTTTATCGATGATCGGTTTCATTAACAGTTCCTGAGCAATCATTCATTTCTAATTTTTTTCTTTGTGTGCACAGGCATTCCAAAGATTTACGGAGGAAGAATAAGCCAGAAAATAAGGAAGATTGTAGTATAAAGGATGACTACAGCACAAAAAGCAGGCCGCTTAACGTCTAAACAAACTTGAGACTCGTACCATCGAGATACATTACATTGATGGTGCAAAAATATTTTATTGAACTTACACAAAATTTTTGCACATAAAACTTGATTAATAAACTTGTCACAAGGTGCAGAAATTTTAGTATGAAAATCATATATTATTAAATATATTATCTGTTCTGCTGTACTGGAAATGTCCTATTCACTATGCAGCAAAGTTTCCGTGGAAAGCCACGTCTGGCCACGTCTGGCCACGTTTGGCGTATTGGTGGTTAGGGAAGACAACAGATCCTGAATTCGTAGGTGAAACTACATGCGACTCTGTGAAGACCGTCTGCGGATGACGGTTTCATGAAAGCACAACATATAAGGCAAATGTTGAAGTAAAATGAGCTATCTGATATCTAAAGGAAATACCGAGAAGACTTCAATGCTAGTGAGATGTGTAATGAATTCCTCACGCCTCACGACTTGGTGCAATGTCTTGCACATCTATCCTATTTCAATGCTTCGAAAATCTATAGATTTCCATTCACTTTGTTATTTTTCTTCATCTAAGTGCTCAGGAACAACCAAAAGTACTGTGGAATTAAATTTGGCAGGAATAGGTCTTCAAACTAAAATGCCATAAAAATTTTAGTCCAGAAACACGATTGACGAATCGCATGACTTCGGCAAAATCTACGCTTGATGTCTTTTTATCAGTTGGTCTGTTTTTGTTCTCGAGAGTCCTAGAGTATCCATGCTACTGTAGGTGATACGCTCTACTGGCTACTGCAGCTGTCACCCACTTAGGAAACACAAGAGCGGAGCACAGAATAGGTGACAGTAGTGAGGTGATGAATGGCTACCGGAACACTACTGTTTGACACCCAAGGACACCGTTCCAATGGTGAGGCAAGAGATGTTGCAAAACGTATCCACACGGCCTTGACAACCTACCCAAAGTAAACCACATTGTCATGAAGGGACTAAATTCTAATGCCTTCTATACCAGGGAATCGATAGCCAGAAAGGCTTCACTTCAAGATAAGGACGGTTAAAAAATCAACAACTGAAAATGCAGGCATTGCCCAGGAAGAATGGCTGTAATATCCTTATCATCGTCTTCGTTGGTCTTCCACTCGGTTCTGGTGCTCGTTCTTTCGCTCATTGGGCCTTCTTGGCGGCTGTTTCCTCATTGTCAACGGCGTCCATTAGCAACACCTCTGCCAGATACCTTCAACAAATTTTGCAAGAATTAGTTGTTCCAGTTTAATCCAGAACTGATGCACAGCTAAGCTTTAGTACGAATTGAGGTGCATCAGCTGCTCCTTTTTCATAGTCTACAATTCTTGTTATTAATTATGATAGTCTAATTATAGGAAAAATTTTTTCGAAAAATTTTGGTGCAGATTGTACTGATGTGTTCTTTTTCACCAGACAATTTCACAGCATTTTCCTTCCATTAGAATCGTATTGTTACTGAAAGCCGTCACGACAGTGATAGTTGAATCATTTAATTATTATTTGAGCCAACTTGTCATGTGGTCTGGTAAGGGTTCTTGTACAGCCTGATACACGTGTTTCGTCCTTACAGACTCGTCAGCCGGGCAGAACCCGTCGTCTTTCGATCTTTTCATAGTCAGTTCTCTCGGGAGCCTCACACTCCTTATAGAGAGTCATCGAAGACGAAGGCTTTACACTCCATTTCAAGTGAAACCTTCACCTAACACAGAATGTTGCGCACTCGATTGTTCTTTAGCTGGTACTTTTATCATAATTACACCTTTAATTCGAGTGCTTCGTTTAGACCACACTCAAATTTCAATAGATCAAGCGGCCTTACCAGACCACATGACAAGTTGGCTCAAATAATAATGAAATGATCTATTGAAATTTGAGCGTGGTCTAAACGAAGCTTTCGAAATAAAGGTATAATTATGATAAAAGTACTAGCCAAAGAGCAATCGAGTGCGCAACACTCTGTATTGGGTGAAGGTTTCACTTGACATGGAGTGTAAAGCCTTCGTCTTCGATGACTCTCTATAAGGAGTGTGAGGTTCCCGAGAGAACTGACTACGAAAAGATCGAAAGACGACGGGTTCTGCCCGGCTAACGTGTATGTAAGGGCGAAACACGTGTATCGGGCTGTACAAGAGCCCTTACCAGACCACATGACAAGTTAGCTCAAGTAATAATGAAATGATCTATTGAATTTTGAGCGTGGTCTAAACGAAGCACTCGAAATAAATGTATATTTAGGTCAGTTTATCCTACCATCCTAGCAGACGC